TCCCAATTTGTACACATACCTTTGGGCCTGTAAAGGGATGGTACGGAGGTATTATATTTATATTAGTGATTTTAGCGTTAATCTCGTTAAAATGACGTTAACGTCACAACCGCATTAACGCCGCAAATCTCCGTTAGCCAGGTGTCAACGGGTTAGCGCAGTTAGCTCGTTAGCGCGGTTAGCTCGTTAACGCGTTAGCACCGTCCAGCCCCACACACGGGGCGATCCCCGCTGACTTGCTAACGGAGATCTGCGGTTATGGCGTTAACTCATTTTAACGAGATTAACGCGACAGCACTAATTAATAATGAAAAAAAGGTTTCTGATCAGTGTCTGTTAAACTCATTGAATTAAAGCTAAAAGTCTGCACATCCTGACTGTACGATCCATGGTGGTGTTGTACAGATATAGCAACCATAATTCTGCTGCTTTGAACATCAGCATGCGTGCTGTGTTTTTGTTCATAGTGTGGTTTTGTTGTTGTTTTGAGTCTGCTCAGTAGCATAACATATTAACATATTTGCTTTTTTGCTGTGTTGCTAAAATGCAGATGGGAAGATTTGATAGTATTTTAATTTCTGGAGCCATCGTCCAATTACCTTGGTGCATGCAGCAGCAGTATGCTATGTTCCTCAAAAGTCCCCTTTTATTTTAATTAGTAGATTAGCAGGTTCCTTCTGTTTCCATACTTTTCTAATTGTTATATTTAAGAGTACTAAATGTCATAAATGTTACTACTACATCCCTCTGCTTTTTTCTTCTTCAACTTTTCACTTGGTGCACTTTACTCCCTTTTCTGCTCCATCCCTTTCATCTCATTTATTCTCTCCCCTGTAATCTGTTTCCTTCCTGTCTATCTCTCTTTCATATCTGTTTTTGCCTGCGGTCAGGGAAAAGTTCCTCACTGAGATTCAGAGTCCCCGCTATGCCCGTCTGAGGGATTGGCACCACGACAGGTCTGCTCGCGCCCTCAATATTAAATCCTGAGCGACATCCTAGATGCCCTGGGACGCAGAGCCCAGCCAGAGCCGGCTAGCGATAGCTACACTGCAACGACTACGTGATAAAGACGACGAAGATAGTGGACTGTCTCCTGGCAGTTAACAAATTCACCTCCTTAGATGCAGATGGACTGACAAAGAAATTTGGGGAAGCGAAGAAAAGCAAAAATATAAGAAACGTATCCTAGATGACAAAAGCCTAAAGTGGAGCCTTGCATACTGAGCCTAAGCATAAGATCTCCCTCTGAAATTCTGACTTGATGATTGTTGACAACACTGTGGACCATTGTGTCTGTAGCCCTATTTTCCATTTCACACTGCGTTACTCGGAGTAAACTGGTGGAAAGGTGGGGAGGGGGTCTCGGCGGTGGGAAGCACTGTTCTTTCTTCTTTGATTGTGAAGTTCAGACCCTCCTTTTGATCTCTGTCTGTCTCTTTTGCTGCCTGTTTACATTTATTGAGTTTTCATCCTTTAGAGTTCTCAGTTTTGATCCCCTCTTCTAATAGGCTTCTTGCACAATTTAAAGAAAAAAAACAACTGTACTTTTTTTCCTGCTGTCATCAAAAATATATAAAATATAAAACATCTGGAAAAAAAAAGCAACTCTTGTTCTCTGTCCTTCTGTGTTTCTTTTCTTGTTTACTTTGAGCTTACAAGGGCATATCTCTCTAACAGTTCTTTCCTTTTTTCCCCTGCTGTTAAGTCACAATTGCTTTACTTACAGTGTGCTGGACAAAAAGTGATTATATAGAAGCGAGGCTTTATTCAGTATTTATGCAGGTTGGAATTAATGGGATGTCTTAAAGAGCCAGGTTCAAGGTTTACTTTTATTGCCCCTGAGAGAAAATTGTTGTGCATTCGGGCATAAAAAACCCAACAAATGTGCATACTCATTTATAAAGTGCTGAGATGAACGGTGAGGAAAGTCTGTCTCGAGTTATTTGCATTTTCCTGAAATGCGAAAAAAAATGTAATCCTGAAGCGCTATAGGTTTTGACACCAGACTAAAACAAATAGGTTTGGTAGGTAATGACTTTTCATCAGTAGTATTTCTTGTAGTAATGTTTCTGGATGTATAAAATCCATAACATCCATAGTGAAGGACTTCTATAAATCCCATTTAAAAATGTCCACAGATGAGATGATTTAGAGCTTGAGGATACAGCTTTAAACCCTTTAGCTGTGCTCACTCTCACACATCTGACTCATGCTTATACTTTGTTTGTCGTGCTGGCCATGTCATGTAAGGGGAACCATTATAACTGCTGCTTTATGAGGGGCAAATGGTTGGTTAACCAACGCTGGCCCATAAACATCGAAATTCAGCTTGATTGGTCTGAGGCGCACAGACCCAGGTGGAAGACGAAGATAAATTATTAGCACATACTGACAGAGTTTTTATAATTTGGTAAATAATTCGTTTAACAAATGCACCAGTAGTGAGGAGAGCAGATTTATGTAATGAGCTTGTAGCACACTCACTGGAAATGCCTTCCTGGTACCTGATTGGACCCAGTGTTTTCCTTCAGATCCTTAATTCTTTGTGCTTACAAGGTGCTGGAAACATTCCTGGGAAATCTTGGTCCATACTGACATGACAGCATCACACAGTTGTTGCAGATTTTTCTTTTGGCTGCAAATCTATGACGTGAATCTTCTGTTTCATCGCACCTCGAAGGTGCTCTGTTGGTTTGAGATCTGGAGATCAGGTGATCTGGCCGTGTGAGTACAAGGAGAAAGCAGTTTGAGATGATATGAACCATCAGAAGATGAATACAGTTTGTTCATACAGGACACTGTCAGCAACAATGATCAGGTAGGCTGTGCTAAAGGCCTCTAAGAAAATGTCCTCCACACTGTTACACCACCACCCGGCTGAAGCATTGATACAAGACTGGATGTTTTCATGTTGTTCTGAACCTACCATCCGAATATCGCAGCATAGTCGGAGACTGATCAGTCCTGGCAACATTTTACCAGTCTTTTGTTTCCAATTTTTGGTGACACATGCATACTTTTGTAAAAGTGCCTGTTTAAGTTGCTTGTTGCCTTCAACCAAACATTTTTGATGCAGAGAACTGCTGCTTACTGGATATTTTATCTTTCAGACCATCTTCTGTAAACCTCAGAGATGGCTTTGTGGGAAATTCTGGTAGATCTGAAATACTCTGACCGCGCTGTCTAGCATAAACGACCATGATGAATTCAAAGAAACTTAAATTGCCTTTCTTTCTCTTTCCGATGCTCAGTTTGAACTTCAGCGGGTCATCCTGACCATGTCTACAAGGGTAAATACATTCCGGTGCTTCCATTTGATTGGCTGGTTAGTTATCTGGATTAAAGAGAAGCAGGTGTATCTAATGAAATGGCTGACAAATGTGTTTTAATGTATAGTGAAGTTGGAGGTATTACTAAGTGACTAATTAAGGAAAATTAGTGGAAAACTAGCTAGAGTATGAATGTATCCAGACCAATGTGCTAAATTAGACAAGTTAATCGAAGTCAAGCATCAACTTGTAGAAATTTCAACTGTAAGAGAGGATTTCAGAGGGGGAAAAAATCAATGTGTAAAAATACTACTTTACATCTGTAGAAATAACAGTAAGCAGGAAGATACTGAAGAAAGCTTTGTGCAAAGCTTAGATGTGAAGAGCCAATAGGAATGAGGTTTCTCATTCAGCCCTTCTAGGCATGTGCCACCACTGTCGCACATGGTTTTTAGTCACATTTGACTTCTTGCAGAGCTGCATCACCTTTACCTCCTCACTGGGTGGAGGGGTGACACATGTCAGGGGCTTGTTGCTCCATGAAAAATCAAAACCTGCTATTTCCTTTGCCGGATGCTGAGCTGCCAGCAAAGTTCTCTGCTTTCCTCGTTGCTCAGGTTGATGCATCCCACAGGAGTGGATACCCAAAAAGGGGGGAGAAAAAAGAGAAACCGGTACAGATGAATCTAAAATCAGAGCTGCAACGGATGAACAAGAAAAGTGAAAGGAAATGCTCCAGTCAAAAGCTAAATAAATAAATAAATAAATAAAAAATCCCGTCTGCACAGCCTCTGATAGAGAAAATGTGCACCTGCATCATATCGAGCCTCTTGCTGAGCAGGGAGGAGGAGGAGGAGGAGGGGGTTTGAAAGCATGGAAAATGTCAAGGATAACACAATCTAGGCTGCTCCAGGTGGGAAGAAGCCGACATAGAGGTGTAGCGCAATTTGCACCTGCAACATTCATCATAGTGAGGTGCAGCAGAGAGAAGAAAGAAACCTCATGGTTGCGAGACAGCCGAGCCATCGGCCTTTCAACACGTACGGGCAGCCTGGCAAGGGAATGTAGCCGGGGCAGCGGTGTTGAATAGGAGTTTGTTTTGTCAGTTGTTAGGTGAGGTCCCAGATGTGAGGCTTGTCAGTGTGTCTGTGGAGTGGAGGGCAGCTGACCCAAGGTCTGTGAGTCACACACGGGCAGAAACAGCCTCTGTCCTTTGTTTGACTCCATCAGCAGACATCCTGCTCATCTAGCCTTCTGACTTCCTCTTAGGCGTTTTTCTTTCTTTCTGCGGGTTCTTTGCAAAAATCTCATGGTAGGAGGTCTTGCGATCCTTAATTTAGAAAGATTTAGCTTCCTTACTGTCACTAGTCCTATAAGCCAGATTCTTGGTATTGCAAAGGGATTTAATGTTCTTTATTATTCCAGAAATAGCAGATGGCTTTTATGCTTTTTTTT